GAAAAGGTGAAGGTGGCAAGAAGCCACCTTACTGACAGACGACTTCCGCAATGCATGAGGGCCTGAAGTTGGTGGACACCAGCAAGCATGGCCTGATACAGAATTCGGTCGTTGATGTGTCGGATACAGAACCCCGGCAGATTAATGGCAGAGTGCTACACCTTTATAGTGGACCACGCAGGCCTTCTGACGGTCTGGGGAAACATCTCAAGGACCATGGAAGGGAGGCAGCCTATGTGGACAGAGAGATCAATGAGTTGCATGACCTCCTGGATCAGGACATCTGGGAGAAGATTGAATTGAATTTGCCTATGTACGATTGCTACATGATTTCACCGCCTTGCAGCACCCTTTTGCCTGCAAGGCAAGGCCAGGGAGGACCGCAGCCGTTAGGGTCGACAGAGGGTCCAGAGGTCTACGGACTCACAAGTTTGACGGCTGAAGACATGCAGAAAGCCAGAGAAGGCAACATCCTGGCACTTCGGGGTCACCCTACGGCATCTCATGCACGCAGGAGAGGCAAGCCGTGGCTGCTTGAGCAACCGCATGAGAGAGAGGAGAAGACTTCGATGCTCAAGCTGGATGAATACAAAGACTTGATAGCAACAGAAGGAGTGTTCAGATATACATCTGCACAGTGCAGGTTCGGGGCACCTTCTGGGAAGCTGACAGATTTGTTGAGCGACATTGAAGCCCTGACCAAGTTTACTGTTTTGTGCAATCACCCGAAACGGTGGTGGAGGGTCCCTTGGGGCGGAAGGTGGATCTTCGCTGCGCACCCTCCACTTAAAGGCGAGCAGAGGGCAATCCAGGCAGATCAGTGGAGGCCCTCGATGCCACGGTCAAGAGAGCCACAAGGGGAATGTCTGACAAGACAGGCAGCTGCGTACCCGGATGAACTCAACAGAGCATTGGCTACTGCACTTGCAACTGCAATCATACGAGAGAGAAGCAAGCAGTGCGCAACAGATCGTTTGGACAACAAACGAACAGCAACCATCACTGACTGGAACCCGAGGCCACAGAAAGCGATAAAACTGTCGCAGCAAGCTGAACAGATCGGGAAACCAGATGATGAGAGAGATAGCTTGAGGAACGCTCATCACTGGATCACAGACAGGATGGAGTGCATTGGAGTGCAAGTGTGCAACAGCGTTGAGAGGCACCTCGATGACGATGAGGGAGCAGAAGATCAGCTCTGGCACAACCTAGCACACCATCAGAGCCAAGAGGATGTGATCGTTCCAGAACAAGCACTATCTTTGTTGAGACGGGACATCAAAGAGATGTTGATCAGAAACTCATCTGGTAGACTGCCAACAGACCTCTCAGTTGACACGGTCAGTGATAACGGCTGTGCCACAGTCATCCGTGCATATCTGTTGGAAGCCTGGGCACGAGTAGTGGGGGACCCAGCGGCAGGAGTGGTCACCTGGCTGTATCGTGGGGCGCCGGCACGGCTCACTATGCATTCAGAGAGCCTGGACGGGGTCTTTCCTGTGGTTGACGCTGACGCGGAACAGCTTGGCATTCACAGCCTGGCTACAGACTTTGACAGCTCCCACAACTATGTGGGGGTCGAAGACGATGAAGAGGCATTGGAAACACTCGAGAGCCACCGCCAGAAGGGCTATCTGTCAAGATATGACAGCATCGAAGAACTCGTGAGGGTGCTGGGAGACGAACCTGTCTCGTCAAGGCTAGCGTGCTTAGAGAAACTGAAGTACAACCTGGACACAGGGCAGTACATCAGCAAGAGTCGCATCATCCTAGATTGCAAGCGCGGTGGAGTTTCACTCACGTCCGTGAGAACGCACAAGAGTGTCTTGCCGAGGACCACAGATGCTGTTAGCTCCTCACTGGAATTGTTGGACAATGTGACAGAGGGCCATGAAGTCACGATGTTCATCGCAGGCATTGTAGATGCCTTTTGGTTGATCACGTATGGCACCTCTGACATTTGCAGCAATCATGGCTTTGAGATCACGTGGATCCAAAGCATCAGTGATGATTTTCGACTGCAGACGGATGACCATTTGGTGATCACAAAGGGCACACAGCATAGGATCAGGAGACTGGCGGTGGTCTTCGCAGCAGCATGGCAGATCATGGGTTTTCTTTTGAGGCTACACTGGCACACAAGTTGACCTGGATAGGTGTGCAGCTGGAGATACTGAATGAGGCAATTGTAGCTGAAGTCACTGAAGCTAAAGCGGGAGAAATCTCGCAGCTTCTGACCGAGGCATTGACGCACAACCTCGTATCTGTCAAGTGCTTGCGCACAATCATTGGCAAACGCATTCGATTGCATCGGTCATCGTCGTTTGGAGGCCGTTCGTCCAACGACTGTGCACAGCGTTGCACGCAAGGTGCCTTTCGAAAGCTGGGACCGGTGGTGGTCATCACTTGGGACGCGAGTCCATTTGGCATGGGCGCCACTTTACAAATCCAGGGACAATTTAGAGAGTTCTTTGCTGTCCGCGTCTCGCCAGCGGAGCAAGATATCCTAGGTGTGCAAGCGGGTGATTGTCAAGGACAACAGGTGTGGGAAGCGCTAGCGGGACTCATTGCGTTGAGGCAATGGGCAGTTCCCTGGCAGCACACACCGGTGTTCTCCGGATCTGAAACGACAATGTTGTGCATTGTCGCTGTTTGCCAACCTCAAAGCGGGATCTCCGGCTTTGAACCTGATCGCAAGAGAATTTTCTTTGGATCTGGGTCAGGCGACATGCAGGCCACAGCTGGTCACGCACATACCAGGCTTGACCAACACGGTGTGTGATGCGCTGTCGAGGATCAACGATCCTAACAAACAGTTCAAACTGCTGATCCAACTTTCGGGTGCTAAAGCAGTGTTGCTCAAGCCACGTCGGCTGGGATGGTGGAAGACGCTCCCACACCGACTTGACGTCTCTCCGGCAAGCCAACTGCAGCATGAGGAGGGAGAGATACACCAGCTTGCACAGACACCCGGACACAGTGCTGAAAGACTTCTGGCCGAAAACTGGCTTCGAACCTGAGCGACGGCAAAAGTCTGCGGGTCGCTTGAGTGGGGGGGGGATGGAACCTGACCTCGGGTCCGTCGTTCGGCCGCTTGTTCGCGCGTGCTCGTTCGCCCCCTCCTTTTGTCGTCCTTCAGCACCCACACCTGTGGGGAGGGCCTCACATTCCTCACGTTTAATATCCGCTGCTTTACCATGTTCAAGACCCCGTCGCACCGCGGGAAGAATGCAGAGGGGCAGCTTGCTCTACCCTCTGGTGCTCTATAAAGATGGCATGATCTCCAAACAGGACATAAAACTGTCTGTGCTGGGAGGCTTTTGATCCTGGGGGGGAGGGGACCCCCCCCATGAGTGAATCATGGGGATGGAGTTGGCACCGTACCCTCTTGGTCTTTGTGGGCGCCCAGTGCTGTGAACTCGCGGGAGCAATGAGGGTGAGATCGGATACATCGTAGGTCGCCAACTGTATGAACTGCCCTGACATCCGTCCGTGGAGTTGCCGCTCACGGCCACCTAGCCTCTTCACCAGGGGGTCTTCACTGACATCGACCGTGGAAGTGGCAGGTCTGAAGACTCTCACAGACCCTGAATCTCCACGACCATGGAAGTGGCAGATCTGAGGATCTCGACTGCGCAGCATCACTCAACCTCACAGGCTCGAAAGATGGCTGGTGATGTGACAACACTGAGAACTGCTATGCAGGTACTAGCGGGTGTTGTAGCAACACTGAGGACTGTTTATGAGTGCTGGCGCAGCATATTACAGCAACCTGGCTTGCTGCCGGATACGTGCTTGGATCATGTCTCACTGATATTATGGGCACAGACACGCTCCCATGCGTGTTGCGGAGCCTTGCAGACCATTTCACGAAGTCAGGGTTACTTACAACCAGAGCTGACGGTCAGAGCTGGAAACTTGACTTGAGGGCTGGCTACAAGGTCTTCTTCGGTGACTGAACCGGCAGGCAAAGAACTGGAACTTTTGAAGACACTAATTCGAGAGTTGTCCGGCATTGCCTTCAACACCGTCACCTGTTAAGGTGCAATTTTATTGTTCGTGACACCCAGTCGTCTTCTGGTCTGGGTGAATGTTAATTCATAGTTGGGGTCGGACAGCAGACCGTGGGGAGCTCCGTGACCCTCCGGTTCGTAGGGAACTGTTGCGGATACTCCCCCCCTTGCATCGACTGACTATAGTGAGAGGATTCAACCGCCTGAAAGGCTGGTGTGCTCTTGCTGATCATGATTGAAAATTGCCACCCGATTAAAGGTTGATCCCTCCTCGAGTCAGTTCATCATCGGACTCGGACGATTAAGTGCAGGTTAGTTGGGTACCTTGTACCAATCGTGAGTACCCGTATGAACT